AGGCCAAATTAGACAAAATGGTTTGGATATTATTGATCCTCGTCTCAAGACGAAGAGAATGACATTGGTCCCGCCGGAATCGGAAAAAGTTCATTTTCCGGCGACTTTGGCCGGCGGGCGGCGGGGGGGGGGGGGCGTGGAAGAAAAGAAAAGAAGAAATGGGGTGAAATTGAAAATTTTAAAATATATAAAATTCGAATTTGACCCTAATGACCGGAAGTTAACCTAGAAACGGGCTAATGGCTCATTAGTGAAAGGATTGTGTAAGTTCAGGGATTTTTGTGAAAGGATTTGAAGTTCAGGTACCACTTCGAAATTTCAGCTAAAGTTCAGGTACCATTTTTGAAATTCACCCTCACTTTGCTCTTCATAAAATATTGGGCAGACAATTATTACACTTACACCAAAAATTGTACTTCATTTATACATCGCAGTTATACATAAACATTTTGATGGTTTACACCGACACAAGTGTTGGTGCGTTAACAAAAATTTACACAGACACAAAGTGTTGGTGCGTTAACAAAAACTAGTTTTACACCAATACAAAATGTCGGTGAAAACCTGCGGTGTACAAATGGAGTACAAATAGCTTTATCCTTTTTCAAATTGTCCCAAAAACTATTTCTTTCATCATTTTACTCTAAAACGTTTCGTATTTGTCAACTTATTCTTTCTTTTAAAGTGAAATTATTTTTGTATCCTTTTTTCCCTAGTTGTTACCGCTAGATTATCGTTACCAAATCGTTGCGGCAACGGGAGCATTTCTACCCTAGCAAGATATTCGGTATTCTCATTGTGGCGACGCGCCATATTTCATTGTTTCCTTCTGTGTGTCGCAAACATGACATAGGAAGCCTTCACATTTCTTGCGGATAAGAAATTTAGCTTACAAGTAGGGCATGAACTCCGATGTTTTAGGGGACAATTCCCCCTTAACCCCTTAGAACTACCATCGTCGGCCTTCAGTCGTACGGTGTGTAGCCCGCAATCGATAATTTCCTGATGTTTAATCAGCCAATCTATACCAAGGATAATGTCAAACTCCTTGTACGGTAACTCTATTAAGTTAGCAGACAACACCTGTCCCAAAAGCCCTCATTGGAAAGTTGTGAAACACGTGGTTAAGTCGCATACTATGCCCTAAGGGATTGGAGACTACTATAGGGTACTCTAAATCGCCTCGTTGGATATTAGACTTCTCAAGCATAGGGATGCAACTATACAACAAGATAGAGTCTGTATAAATTAAGTCAAGCATATGTGTATCGAAATGCAAAAAACATACCCAAGATGACGTCCTGGTTGACCTCGCTTCGTTCTTGCATTGCACAGGTGTGTGCAGGTGTGCGTCCTTGCAGATGATTCTGGCCCTAGTTTTGCTTATGCGTCCTCAATCGGTTTGATCCTGCCGTGGACCTCTGACTTTGAGCAGGTCGTTACAAGGTAGACAGTGTTTGGGTCTCGGCGGTAGAGAAGACTGGTCCAGGATTAGTAAGACGATCCTTACGAAAGTGCCCCGCCTTCCCGCAACCTAGGCATAAACCTTGTGTGAACCAACAGTCTGTTAGATGGTTCATTCCACAAAGATTACACACTGGATGCCTGAGGGTTTCAATCTGTTGTTAGCCGCTTGTGACTGAGCTAGCACACACTTGGTCTTCTTAGAACTCAGAAACCCTTGGCACCCCCAAAAAATCTTTTACCATGGGATGCACTTGGTGCTGCACTGACTGTTGGACGGGCATTTGGTCTACCCTCCGCTATTCCTAAACTTGCCTTGTAGTCATCGATGTCCTTCTCAGACTTCTCCATCAGGTCATAGGCCTGAGAAGTTTGTCGTGGTTAGGAGAGACACGTGAGGTCAAACGTCTAGACATAACCTCTTCCTAAACTCTACAATGCGGTCTGTCGGCGTGGACACCGGCGTTGGTGCAAACTGGGCTAAATGGTCGAACCTTTGGCGTAATTCGGCAAGGGTCATGTCTCTCTGTTGCATCTCCATAAACTTTATACGCTTCTCCTCATGGAAGCACGCTAGTATGTATTCCTTCTTGAAGGCCCAATTGAAATAGGCCCAAATCCAGGGCTTTGGTGTCTTCTCGTCATTTTCGGTGCACTTCCACCATTTGTACGCTCCCTTTCGAAGCAGTTGAGATGCGAGTCTCAGGTGATCTGTTAGCGGAACATTCAGGTTGTTCAACACCCTGGCAACCTGATCGATCCAATCTAGCGTGACTTGGGGCTAAACAATTTGGTCACCAAGAAATTCTTCCACTCCAATGTCCTTCAAGATCTTGAAGGTTATCTTTTGCGATTGTTGTAGAGGAGGCGGCTGAAACATTGGCGCATTCGCTATTTGCTGGAGGAACTATGCCATAAAAGCAGGCATAACACCTTCATGTTGATTACCATTGTTCGGATTACCTCCCGCATTTAGGGGCATGTTTGGCTGTCCGGGGTTCTGTTGCGGACAAAGTTAGGCGCTTCATAGTGGGCTACGACGTGCTCTTCGTCTTTGTGCTGTAATTTTCCATGAACATGGGTCAATGCTTGACTCATTCTATAAACAGAGATCTCCTATTTAGTTAACAATACATAACATTCAAAACTAAAAACTTGTTGCCTTCGTAGGACTGATGAGTAGCAAGAGATGTGGAACAGCTTGTGGATAATCGTTGTTTATTGATGATCCAAAGATCGGTGAAACGGGTTACTACTACTATATTAGTATCCAAACACACCTCATATTTAAAAATAAATAAAACAAATACTTCAAAATATAATTTCAACATCCATTAGAGTAATTTAAAACAGTGTGAAAGCTTATGTCAGTATGCAAAACAAAACTTGGGGTTCAAGCTCATTAAAGTACGCAATGCTTGAAAATTTAACTAAATAAATAAGTCTCCAATTGCAACCACACACATCCCCTTAGCCTCAACATCCTCCAGGATTGGTTCTAGGTTCATCTTGATCCTGATTAGCTATGTGCAACAAAAGTAACCTATTTTAGGTTTAAGCTTACACTAATTCTGACTTACTATTGGAGTCATGACCTTCCCCTTCGGAATGAAAACCAAGCTCAACCAACTCGGGAGTTCCTCGTTGGGTTGGTGAGATCCATGTCCCCTTCGGAACGACAGTTCATAGATCCCCGTGCACACGTTTGTCCCCGAGTAGCCTTTGGACCAGTAGGTGTCACGTGGCTCTAACCTTTCTATACTTATGGAATAACTTGCCGCTATTCCATTCAAGTGAAATCATAAAGTTCCTCTATGTTCATATTTTATTTTAATGAAATAATACATTTACAAATACATATCACATCAGATAACCGCAGTCATATTCAACGTAAACAAACATGATCAAAACATCATCCTGGTGCTGGGTGTGAGCGCTCATGCTTACCATCATGCAACATACAACATTTTGGAATAAATCCTCGACACAAAAAAATGTAAGAGATTAGCTCTGTGGTACCAGACGGTACCTGTCCGATACCTGGGTACCATCTAGGCTGTATCCGGTACCGGTTGGGACAGAGCCCACCAGCACCAAATCGCTTGTGTCGGTTGCAAGTTACTATCCGGTAATAGGGTCTACCACCCGTCCGGTACCTAGGTACCGAATGATCATAGACTCTGCCAGCAGATTTTTGCCTTTGGCAGTACCGGGGTACCGGTCGGCCAGTACCTTGCTACTGCCTGACGCGATGAACTTGTTCTTGCACCAGCTCGAATTCCGGAAAATAACCAACACAAATTCCATATAATTCCATACCAATATGTATGTTCATAATTCAATTGCTAATCATATTCCACCTTACCTTGATTATAACTGTATCAAATAATGCATTCTAACCCATAAACTATGAATAATAAATAAAAACAATCTCACGTTCTAGTTGACAAGATGAGGCGAGAGAGAGAGAGAGAAGAGAGTGTCGGTGCGTGACTATGGGGCAGCACCATATCAAGGGTGTATTTATAGGTTTAGGGTTTTTGGCTTCGTAATTAAATTAATGTACTTCAATTAAAATATACTTTTTGGGCCAACTTGCTCCAAATTTAAATTCGATTTCATCGTTGCCTCGTCTCCTTGAACCTTACACAATGGTATAATTTTTATAATTTATTAATGAATATTAAGTTAAACCTCGAGTCCGTCTCAATAATTAATTAGTAATTCTTAATTAATTAATTCTAATAGGGTTTTGGAGCGTTACATGACATTTATGAAACCTGTCATAAAACCGAACAACACTTTATTTTATGTAAAAAACTGGAGTAATTATAGTAAAATTGTAACACCCCACCCTAGGTGACCCGAGTCACCTAGACCGGAGCGCTAGCAGAATCAGGTTTTCATACTAAAACATTATTTAGAAATATTTCTCATTTTGGCAATTAAATAGTCCAACAATCATTTGCTTATACATAAAACAAAAAAGTTTGAAAGTAAATACAATTTAGGGTCCAAGTCCAAATCATACATAAATTAAGTTCAATGATTTATTCATTATTAAATATTAAAGCAGAGCTCCTTCGGCACAACCTCACAGTCTTGGATTTCCCTCCTCAGCAATTGCTCCTTTTCCTAGTACCTGCGTGCAGTTAAACTCCACACACTCATCATAAAGTTGAGTTTCAAATAACCAGTAGATATATATATATATATATATATATATATATATATATATATATATATATATATATATATAACATGCAAATATATTTTAAGGTATTTTCATTTAATCAATATCAAATGCTTTTCACATACTTTAAATTTTCTTAGAAAATAATCTCACTTTGGAAAATAGTTACTTGGGGACATTTAGAAAAGTCTTGATCTTCCTAGTTTAACCTTAGATTACGGACTAAGTCGTGATTAGGCTGGAACCCCGCACTAGTCGATACCTAGTTTTACTTCGGATACCTCCCCGTGACCTTGAGTCCAATAATCAGAATTGAACCCTAGACCCACGGGGTCATCTTTGGGTTCTCGTGTGCATGTTGTGGTATGATATCTGTAGGCTCATCCATTTGGACACATATGATCTGGCCTTATAAAATGGTTTGACCCACTTAGTAAATTAAAACGAGACAGTACCTGGTCAAGGTACGTCGTTAAAGTCAATATTAAAGGTTTTACATAGTCCACTTTGTATTCGACTAAGCCTAGTAAGGTCATTTACATAAACTTATTTGATCTTTCAACATAACATTTTTTAAATAAAAATTCGTCACTTGTTTCCCCGCCCCCCTTGTGTTTAAAACATTTGATTAACCACAACCATAGTTTCCGAGTGTGGCATATAAAAATTCTTTGTCTCAACATTATCCACCAAAACGTGTTTAATCCTTTTGACTTTACAAGTGTACTATATCATGACTAAAACCAACCAATTCAAGGTTCTAAAGTAAACTTACCATTTTTAAGTAATTAAAAATCTCAATGTTATGTACTCACTTAATCAACCTCTCTTGGGTCCATTAATATACTTTGTCTATTCAGATGCATATAAAATTAGTGTGTCTTTATTCAAATGATTGGACCTAAAACTTGTTCATTTTATATGTAAATATTTTATCTTCTTTATTTTTTTGTGCTTTGGCCTCTTGATACTTAATGATATGATATTGTTTGTAACTTTATTCGATTTGTGTGTGCATAATATAGTATGTATCTAAAATTTGATTTTCTTTACTTAAATTCAACAGGTTCACGTTAAAAGATAAACATGCACAAAAAATATATGTACATGAAATATGTATATCTAAAGGTTGGGCTCAACGGCACACCTTTGATATTGGTTAGACAAAACGATAGCTTGACGATGTTGATGGAATGATTCTGTGGCAACATCTCCCATGTCTCTCCATATCTCTCAATGATGCCACAACCCATTTTTTCTTACATACTCACATATATAACCTCTCGAGCTATTATATTTCTCTCATCTGGTCATGAGCTTCTGTTCCTAAGACACCCGGTTTATAGGGAGGAATGAAAAATCTAGAAAGTGGAGGAGTGAAGGGAAAAATAATTTAAAAAAATATATTATTAAAATATAATTAAAATATTAATGAGACTTATTCATTACCTCCGTTATGAGGTTAATAGTAAATGAGAATGGTACTCCGTTTGCTTAACATATTTGTCTAATTTCTACAGTTTCGGTTTCCATGCAAGTATTTTTAGAAAATATAAAATTTATACCATTAAGCTCTATATTTTTCATACATTATAAATGTTATATTTGTTTATCAAAATTATCAATTTATCTAGACAAAATCTTATTGATAACAATAATATGCAAAGCCAAAATTAGAATAAAATAGCACCTTGTTATTAATGATTATAATTGTTAAAAGTTTATTATTATTAAAAATCCCTACGACTAACTTTTTTAATGCATTGACCATTTCGCTCATAAATGTTTATAGAACAATCATTCTTTGATAAAATGTCGTTGGAGATCTTTCCTTGTCGAGAACTAAGGGTGTTCAATCGGATCGATCTGATCCGATCCGTAATATCGGATATCCCAAAGTTTCGAATCATGTAAAACTTATTCCATATCTGATCTGAAAAATATTTGAATACCCAAAATTTGGATATCCAAATTTTTGGATGGGATCAATGGAATATCGGAAAAAGTTCAACTTTTAGCCAAAATTTACAAAAAGGTAAAATGGAAAAATCAACCTACAATTGCTACTAAATTCAACGTAGATTTGGTAAAAGCAGATGTGGTTGTGTCCATCTTTGAGATTGCTCGAAGTCGCCGAGTTAAGAGACCAAAAAATTTCTTGTATGCATCTCTACGATTTGGCCAAGAGAAATGACAGTGTAGTGTGAAATTTGCCGTAAAAGAATGAAATCTAAATGATTTTCGTAAAAATTACCGCCTATGTCACTATGTCTGAATGAAGTCTGAAACGTAAAAGAATGAAGTCTGAAGCGGCGGATTGGATGAGAATAAGGGTTAGTGGGTAAACGTAAAACATTTTTTTTAAAAAGTACTCCGGATAATTGGATATTCGAATATTTGAAAAAATCTAAAATTAAATCTATACCGGATCCGAACTTTTTCGGATATCCAATCCGAGTATCCAAAAATGAAAAATATCAGATCAGATACCCATTTTCTGAATCGGATCAGATCGGATCAGGGACGGATTTTTCAGGCCGGATAGTCTTGAACAACCATATCGAGAACTACCCCACGATACCAATACTATTTATAAAATATTAACCTTTTTTGTCTTTGTTTTTGTGTAGAAAAACCAACGATTGCAACACATTTTTATTAGTATTTACATGTAACAATAAAAATTACACGCTTTTCAAGGATAACATGAGAGCATCGTCTGCTTTATCGAAATATCCTTTTGTCCAAAGAAAAGTGGTGTATAAAGTTTTCATTTCTATTTTAAATAAAATAGTCCGAACTAACAATTACCTTTAAACCATAATATAATAACTTTACTCATTCTATAAATAAAAAAAGGTCTAATAAAGAAATAATACCTATTTATTTCAAAAATCACATAACTTCTAGACCAATTATGAGGGCTTTACAAAAAAATACTCCACTATTATTATTAAAAATAGACCTATATTAAATATAGTTCAATTATATGAAGAAGAAAAAGTTCCTCACGTGTATTTAAAATTGAAAAAATAAAAAAAAAATGCATGGATTCATAACAAAATTAATGGAGAGACCAATCATGCAATGCTAACGTGGCTTGAAATTTTCAAATTTTAAGGAGTACAAAGAGGGACACCCGAACTGGAGGTACGGGAAAAATAGACCAAAATTCTAACTGATTTTATTCAAATTGAGAGCCTTGATTCACGGAGGGCGTTGACAGACTTTCCTTGCCTCTCAATTGCCTGTGCCACTTGACTCCATAGTCCTCTCTCTCTCTCTCTCTCTCGTGTTTTAACTTTCATTGGATACAGTTCCAGAAATCTTTACACACACAAACAGCTTTGAGGACCCAGAGGTGCAGTGATGAGTAAGTACCCTTCAAGTGATGGTGGTAGCTGTAGTACAATTCACAACCGGAAATGCAGAGACGTGGTCTTTCTGGTCATCTTCGTTGCCTTCTGGGTATCTATGATTGTGAATTCTAGCTTTGGATTCAACCGAGGAAACCCATTAAGGTGACCCAGTGAAAACGCTGCTTCATTTCGTGATTTATTTAACTTATTTTTTTTTCTCGTATCAGATTTTTGTCTCTCTCTGGATGTCTTAGGTTAAATCACTCTCGTTGTTCATCTTTATCCCAATTAATATAAAATTAGGCTATTCATTCGTATTCAGGAAAGTTGTGGTCTTATCTTCTTTATTATTACAAGCTTAATCTGAAGCATGGGAGCAATTCATTTATGTTCTTTTCCCTGAATTTTTTTAAAACATGCAACCAATGTTTCTATTTGAGCTTTAAAACCTTTACCTTTTATGCCTAAAGAAGCTTAGTGATGTTTCTGTTACTATACTGCATCTGATTTAATTTTAAATGAGTTGTAGTGTGGCTAGAGGGATAAGTGCAGGCATTAATTTTTCTTTCCTAAATGTTCTCCGGAGCTGTGTACTCGAATCCAACATAAGCTACTGTTGGACTATCACAAAGACCAACCATGTTAAATGTCTCTCTACCGGTAGACTTCAAAAATGTTGTTCAGTTGATTTGAATTGGCACATAACTTTAAATATTGGAATCCTATGATTGTGCGGATGTTTTGAGTGATTGAACCGTAGTTTGTGTCTCCATATTGTTGTGGGAATGCTTACTTCTATTTGCAGGTTAACTTATGGGCTGGATTATAAGGGCAACACATGTGGTGATCGACATGCAGACCCTAACCTTCATAAGTTGGAACTAAGATATTGGTTAAAGCCTAATGAAGTTTATCAAAGTGGGTTGAAGAATGGTGATGTCAAGCTTCCAAATGCCCGAAGTATTTGCTTGGGTACATGCCCCATTCCATCAGAAGATTCTCTGAATTGGGTCTGTGATTATCCAGAGGGCGACATTCATGTCTCAATGAAAGACTGGATCAGCAGGAATTACGATTATTTTGTTGACCTTCCTCCTGATTTGAGAAACAATTCTCTTCAACTTCTGGGACCATGTTACCCTGTAATATTTCCCAGCATTAATGGTAAGTCAAAGATTTGATTCTCAACGAATGAAATATGCAGTATTGACTAAGAATGTTCTTCCATAGCTTTTTCAAAGAATTAAGAAAAAATTGCTCTATATTAACTTACAGTGTTATTGGGAAACAAGATCTCTCTCTCTCTCTCTCTTTTTAAAATATATATCTTCCCTAGCTCTGAAGGGAAAAGTTTGGAAAAATTCTGTGAGAAGCTTATTTTATGACACATTTTTTCCAGTTTATTGGAGCTGCCAATTTATTTCTCGGCCATCTAATGTGTCTTTGAAACATTGGAAGGAGATGGGTGGAGCAAACATTTTTGTGGATGGTGATATGGATAAATCTATACACAATTCCATCAACTCGCGGTCGTCAGTCTTTAAGGTGACTATCCCTCAGCCTCCCCAGCCTGTATTTTGATTGTTATAAAATTGGTAGTAAAGATGATCTGTAACTCAGGCATAAATTCTTGTTTTAGGTTTTGTTTGTATCCTTGTTTATCTTCTATGTGCACTTTTGTTCAGAGATATGTTGCTGATGTTGAAAAATCATGGCCTGTCTTGATTGTATGCGGGGGAATTTTGCCAGTATTCCTGTCGGTGATTTGGCTTTTGATGATTCGCTACTTAGTTACGGCAATGCCATGGATTACTGTTGTCCTTTTTAATGGCCTTATCATCTCAGTAACAATGTTTTACTACTTGAAAGGTTTGGATATACTTATCTGAAATCATATTGTCTTTCTGTGCTCTTTTTTTGGGGAGTGGGGGAGTGTGTTTGAACTTAAAAAGCTTTTGATTTAGTATCACTTATATGTTCAGTCTGCTTTCTTGTTTCTAGCTGGATGGATTGGAAACAATGCAATATCCCCCATAATCGGCGAACATGACCCTTATTATAATGTGCCCGCAAGGGTGTGTTTCAGACTTTTTTCTAGTTTTCTTTAACTACATTATTATCATTTTTTACTGGCTTATTCTGGATTATTGAAATATTTTAACTTTTTAGGAGTTGAGCCATCTCTATGCCACCACCGTTTTTATGACCGTCATCATGATAATTGCATTCCTATCGTCTATTGCTATAGTGTCACGTATCCTTATGGGAACATCTGTTCTGAAGGCAAGTTCAAAGCACCATCACGTTGCCAAATTCATGCTGACCTTCTGTACCATCCTCTTTTTTGTTTTTCAAAATAAATAATAATAATACTAATGACAGCAACAACAACGATAATAATAATACGGAGTAATAATTAGGAGAACCATTTTTACAGCTTGCTGCCAAAGTGATTGGAGAAGTGCAGGAACTGATAGTTTTCCCTATCATTCCCTTTGCCATTCTCGGGATCTTTTATATACTGTGGTTTTCAGCAGCATTCTATCTTTTCAGTTCTGGGCATGTTGTTCAGAACGACTGCAGCAACAACTGTTGTTCTTATGATCTAAATGAAAAACAAGTGAAGTGTGACCACTGCTGTGGCTTTAGTGTCCAATACACCCCTCATATTGCCGCTGCTATTCTTTTCCACCTTTTTGGTGGTTATTGGGCCACCCAATTTGTCGTGGCGTGCTCCTCAACCGTCATTGCAGGCTCTGTTGCTTCATATTATTGGGGCCAAGTGGAAGTGTCGGTGAGCCTTTTAATGCTTTTTACCGTTTTACAAAGTTTATTTTTATCACCCATTGCCTTGTTTATTACGTACGGCTGCTTGTTGAAACCTTTCTCCTTTGATCTGCAGCCAGCGGTTCCATTTTTCTCAGTACTTTCCTCAATGAAACGGCTCGCACGTTACCACATTGGGTCCGTAGCTCTCGGCTCTCTGGTTGTGTCTTTCACCGAATCCACTCGTTTTATACTGGAAGCCCTTCGTCGCAGATTTAAATCTACTAATTCGGTGTCAGAGAGCTGGGCAGACAAGATGGCCTTTGACACCTCACAGGGTTGCTCCAAATCTATTAGCTGGATTATCAAATCTTTGAACCATAATGCTTATATCATGGTAAGGATTGGGGAGATTCTGCTGTGGTCCGAGCCAGAAAGTTAAGAACTAGTCGCTGATACATCTGTTTGTTTTTTTTCAGATCGCTATTAGAGGAGAAAGCTTCTTCAAAGCATCGGAGTCTGCAACCGAACTGATTTTCAGCAATATCCTCCGAATAGGAAAAGTCAATGTAATGGGTGATGCCATCCTCAAGCTTGGTAAGCTATGCATTAGCCTCGCATGCGCACTCTTTGCTTTTCTCATGTTGGGCACTCATAAGTACAACTCCGCTAACAACAAGATCTCATCCCCTCTGTTTCCAGTGCTGGTGCGTATTTTCCATTCCCTCCCAATTATCATCTTTAAAAAATAACTTCTTAGGGCTTCAACAAGCTTGCTCTTTGTGGATAATGATATAATCAATAAGAGTTTATTGCACAAATACCCCCTGTAGTTTGGTAAATGTGCACGGCTACCCTCCATGGTTTCAAAATTTACATCATTGCCCCTCATGGTTTTGATATACCTACGCCAATGCCCCTCTAGACTAAAATACCCTTCAAATATTAGATGAATTGCTCAGCTATTCACCTTTAATTTGAAGGGTATTTTAGTTTAGAGGGGCATTGGTGTAGGAATACTAGAACCATGAGGGGAAACAACGTTAGCTTTGAAACCATGAAGGGTAACGGTACACATTTACCGAACGACAGGGGGTATTGGTGCGATAAACTCTAATCAACAATCTGTAATGCGGTGATTTGGTGTAACAGGTATGCTGGGGCCTCGGCTATATTGTTGCCACCCTCTTCTTTTTAGTGGTGCAGATGTCGGTCGATACCATAATCCTTTTCTCTTGCGAAGACTCCGAGCACAATCGAGCAGCTTCCCCTACACCAACTCGTCTCCTGAATGAGGTTCTGAGTGACGACCATAGTGAGACGTAAAGACTATTTGCACAATCACATCAACCCGATACATTGTAGTTGCAAGCTCCCGTCTGGCTTCATAGTTTTTTGCCGCTATTTAGTTAATGAAGAGCATTGACATAGCCACTGTCCGTACGTAGCCCATTTTGATGTGTATAGTTTTGTGGTATGTTTGTCTACATAATTAAGATGTCTACAGTTGCCTTCCATGTATTGTACCGGGCCTGAGTGTCATCAATCTATCCAGGCTAATGTAACGCCAACAACTCTATACTGAATATTTCATCACATCCTTGTGAGAGGGGGCATTGATTTAGACCTTAGTATATAATCCCTCTATCCCAAAATTCTTTTTCTATTTTGACTTTTTTTTTAAATTTATGGCAGGAATATTTTTTTTTATTGATTTTCAAAAAATATACTTGATGTGATTGGCATATTATTAGTGAATATATATGATGAGATATATAGAGTAAGAATTATTAGAAATAAATCCAAAGTACTCATTCTATCCCTAAATGAGTTACATACACTTTACGTAAAATAATGTAAAATTCCAATTCATTGTAGTTAAAAATTGGTATAGACATACTAAGAAAAACTTGTATATTTAAAAGTGGTACATCAAAAGTTCTATAAAACAAGAAGTGTTAAAAATATTTTATTTTACAAATAATTAATGTAAATACACAAATAAATAATTTTTTTGTGATTTTTGAATAGTGATGAGTGTAAATCTTTATGGAATGAAGGAATATTTTTTTAATATAGAAAAAAAGAAAGTCATTTTGAGACAAAGAAAATATAAAAGTATAATCTCTTTTGGACTGAGCGAGTACATTTTTTATGGGCAGAATACTCTTTTCGCTTGCTCGTGTATCTTAAAATTGGTTAACATGTAGAGCAGCAGCAACTTGAAAGAAATGCTCTACCCATCATCAATGAAAAGGGACCCGCTAGTCATACTCGAATATATGACTTTATTCATCCACAAAACAGATCACTCCTCGCCAGAATATCACTCAATATGAATATTACAACTAACAATATAAGCATAGGGTAACATGTGGATGTTTATGTAGAAATTCAAATCAGCGAAAAAGAGCGAGCCTTTTTTGACAGTATCATACCAAGGGATATATTATCGAGAGTGTACATATTAGGTGTATTGCATATGTTTCCTTCATGGACTTGCTTCTTAGACAAAACCCAATATCCTTTGCCCTAGAGAAAAGAAAACCCTCGAAATAAGAGTAAATAATTATGCATATACCCAAAATAGGAGTTCCTAACTTTTATACCCCAAATAGGAGTAATTATTGTGATTCAATTTACTCCTTAATGTAATACAACGTACGCTCCACATCCCGATCAATAGGTAAAACACCATAGCCATCCCATTTCCTTTCTCTCTCCTCCTACTCACCATCGTGCCACTGCCGCCCCTGTCGCAATCCGTCGATCACCTTCCGCCATTGCCGCCGCTCCCTTTTTCCATCGTCCCTTTCCCACTCGATGGCTTGCTTTTTCAATCCATTTCATTCTCTTTTGGTTAAACTTATTCAGCAAATATTTTCATGCTTGTATTTAGATCAGATCACTTTTGAGACTACTATTCTTGTCTAGTTTTTTTTACATGCAAAAAGAAAATATTATTGTTTGTGTGCTTTCCGGACATGGAATAAGAATTTAATTAGTATTGTTCATCTATAAAATGGGTTAATAAATTAAATATTGAATTGAAAGATTATGAAATATGCAAATTAGTGACTTTTTTGGCATTTCTCTTTTTTAGAATCATGCACTGTCATTTGTTACATTATATGTTGACATGTGTGTCATTATACATTGTCATATATGTCATTATTCATTCACACGTGTGAGGTGTGACATAATACATCAACATGAATGTCATTATGCAATTTCGTGTGTGGTAATATATGTAGTCATGTTTGAAATTATGTCCTTATTTAACACTATATGGACAGTTAATGTGGTAATGTGGTGATGACGGTGGGAGGTTTTGAACCAGCTAGCTTCCAAACTTCTCTTTGGTGCAAACCTATATGAGGTGAAATTTGTGGGTCTCATTTGGAATATGTACTCCTTCATTATTGCAATGCAGGGGCATCTGTGAGAGGGGCGGTGACATTTGCAGGAGGGGAGGTGGTGACAATGGCGGCGACGCTCTTCTTTAGCGCCACTTGCTTGGCAATGGTGGCCGGCTTCTTACATGACGACTGTTCCTACACGTGACGGTAGTGGCAACTCCACAGAGAAAAAGATTAGAGGTAGCACGACTCTGGGTTGGGACTTGCTTCTAAATGGTGGTGAATTCCTCCTAAACACCGGCTACTAAGGCTTCCATCACCAACGAACTCCGGGGTTCATCACTGGTCGTAGTTTCAAACCAGCAGCACTCACAATTATTCTTCCAGGAACTAGTACTAGACCTATGATGCAAACAATGGTGCCTTCCATAGTTCACATTTATTCTTCCACACCTACAGGTCCCACTTAAACTACAAGGCAATGCTTCATATCAGATGCTCATCTCGGTTCTTAGAGATAGCATAAGAGTTCAGATGCAGGCCAATTACCATTTAAAGGTAAATTGTGGAAAGAATTGGTCTTCTTTATTGTTTTCTTATTCTTGCTTATCTTCTTTATTGCTTAGATGGCTGAACTGGAAAGAATGTCTTTTCTCTTCTTATTCTTTGTGGTCTTTTTTAAAGGCATATTTTAAAAAAATGGTGCTATAGTGTTTTAAAGAAGTTAATTTACTTAGCTTATGATTTTTGTAGGTGATAAGACACTTGCCAAAACAAACCTTGGAGACAATGGTCATGACAATTCATCTAAACTTTTAACAATTCCATCAACAATTTATCATAATGTATTTGCTGTTTGTAAGTGTCTATTTAAACAATCAACTCAGTCCCCTCCCAGTCCAAAGACTCCGCCAACATCTTCCTCTCAATATGAGAAGTCCATTTCACCACAAGAGATTACTTCCACGGCTACCCCTAGCAATGATGTTAATCCCTAGAGAACGGTGTAGATTGTGTGAGTCAACAACTCCTATTTTAGAGGTTTTATCTTTCAACTCCTATTTTGAGATTTTATCAATGTTTTACTTCTATTTTGCTCCTTAACCCCTAGAGGAATACTCCGTATTATGTAACACTCCAACCTGCATAACCCGAATCAGTGAGTTAGATAGCGAACTGGGTTACTACTAATTTGGTATTTTAATGCACAATATTTAAAACATTTAAAATAAAACATTCATTCATAATAATTAAACATAACTATAAGTTGGTTAGAGTAACAAATCCAAACATTGCGTAAGCCTTCAAAACAACATCACAAAACATCCTTGTAATTTAAACAAATAAGTTCATCAAAAATATTGATTTGGCATAAAGGAGCTTCGGACCATTCACTTTGCCCAGCATCACTGACCGCCGGACTATCCATCTAATCATTGATTCATACCTAAATGTAGTCAAAGACAATAAAGACTACACACAGTTAAAAGTTGAGTGAGAATATATCTAACTTCAAAATTAATTCCCAGAGTAGCACCACATTCACATACAATTATACAATGTCATGCGAGCAACTCAAAATCACCATATAATCATACAACATTATATAGATAAGTCACATCATCATATCACGTCATTATCAGTCAGGAATCATCCTAGCTCAATCATCTATGCACTACTCTAACCTATGACAACTAAGGCTCACTATCATCATACTAGAGTTAGGGGCATCAAACCACTGCCTACAACCATGCTCGAAACCTCAGAGAATTTCTTTGAGGCGGGTTGGAGCTGAGCCCCTCGCTGGCACTACCAAAAAGGTCATGGATTCCCATGCATATATTTCTAACCCAAGACCATCTGGTGTAAGACGATGCCCCGCATGGCCTTATTCCTTATCCAAGTCCTATAGGCAATTTAAATTCTCAGTTCAATTCAGATCCACTTAGTACTAGTAGGCAGCCTATTCCTCAATCACAATTTTTTGCCAATAAGTTCCAACAAGGTCATAAAATAATTCAAGGAAACAATTATATCAGATAGTGGCATATCAAGGACCCATTAGCCACTGGATTACCGTCATGCTCAATTAATGTAATATAAAAAAATTACAATTGATTTGAACTAGTTGTTAAACAACCACAATGCGAATTCAAGATCGAGATTTTAACCCCAAACCCGCTGCCCCTGCTAGAACAGTTTACTGCCACCGTTGGACCTGTAACGCCCCGAAAATAGGTCTATCAGAATTAATTACTTGATAATTAATTAACTATTGAGTAGGACCCAAACATAAGTGATTTATAAAGTTTGTCAATAAATAATAAAAATTATATTGTTGTGTAGAGTTTGACTGTCTGACCGCAATGGTTCAATCGGATTTCAATTCAGAGAAAGTTGGACAGAAAAGTGTACCCTGACTGAGACCAAATTAGGCCCACTCAGGGGAAGACGTGTAAATCTTTGAACGACACCGCTCACTCCATTCAGCCAATTGATTGCACAGGGAAAGGAAGCGAAGCAACGTAAACTTGGCTTTTCCACATCACCATTCCTGTATAAGGAGACACTCTCCTACCTCATTTCTTCACCATTTTCTTTCTTCCCTCTTGTTGTGTGTCCCTTGGAGTGTGAATAATGTTGTGGTGCCGTCAATTAGGTGTGAAGTTACCTGAACTAGTCACAAACCTCGTCGGAAGTTTCGTCGGAAAATTCTCAAAACCTTCATTCAAGCTTGAGGTAAGCGCGTAGATGTATCTAGTGACTAGAATGTTCGTATAGATCGTTTCTACGTTCATAAATGGTTGTTTGATTGAGTTTTGTGTCTGACATGCTTGAAGAACCAAGAATCATAAACCTTGAAATTGATGTTAAAACTACGAACTAATGTTATCAAAATGATCTATGAACCTTGAAGTTTGGCGACTGAAAATGACATTTCCAAAAATTGGCCTGAGGTTGAAGATGATACTGTTCAAAACTATGCGCAAAACGGTAGCCAGTTACCGTCCGGATGGTACCTTGGTACCGCCGACACGGTAAGTCATACCGTCAGAACAGTAGGCTAGCTACCATCTCCACCGCAGAAAATATTTCTCTACCTGATGCCAAACAGTACCCCGTACCATATGAGCAGTACCGAGGTACCGTGCAGTAGTACTGAGGTACTGTGAAGGGTACCGTCTGACCCAAAATGTTTCCAAAAACTTTATTTTTGAAACATAAAATCCTA